CCAGCCATGCTGGCTGGGGAATTCTGGGAGTTGAAGTCTACCCATCTTAAACCCGGCAGGGTTGAGCAACACTGAGCAAGGGAGATTGGGGGCTGTTTTGAATTGTGGGGGCCGCTGTCCTGAGCATCAGTACAACACCGCCCCCCAACCCTAACCCTCCCAGCCCATCTCTTGCTGGGATTCAGCCTGACAGCCAAATTTCTCTCCTTCAGCCTTTCCTAGTTGCGTGGGACTTCAAGTCCCATTGTCCCCAGCCAGCAGGGTTAATGGCTCTTTAAGACCCTCAGCATTTCGGGGTCACGTCCGGGATGGCTTCTCCCTCTCTTTCATCCACCCGCAGACGTGTGCGGTGATGAAGGGCCTCCGAGAGCCCACTCCCATTTGCGGGAGCCCCACCTCGAATCCCTCTCCTACCCAGTTCATTTATTGATTGATTAGATGCTTGTCCCGCATTTATTATCATTTTTTTAAATAAATAACTCAAGGCAATAGGCAAACCTAATCCTCCTCCTTCCTCCTTTTTTCCCCACCACCACAACCCTGTGAGGTAGGCCGGGCGGAGAGAGAAGGACTGGCCCAAAGTCACCCCGCCGGCTTTCGTGCCTAAGGTGGGACTAGAACTCACCATCTCCTGGTTTCTAGGCCAGCACCAATTCCCTACAATCCTCTTTTTCTCCTTCCCAGCAGGATTTCCCCTGCATTTATTTATTTATATTTCAAATTTGTCACCGCCCATCTCACTGCAGAGCGACTCTGGGCAGTTTACAGTAAAAAGAACAAATATTGATTAAAATAGAATAAATATTAATTAAAATCCATTGCAGCAAGATTCTATATAAATAATAAATGTCTTACACGAAACTGATGTGAACTAAGACTCGGGGAAGCCTCTTTTGTCTTCCTCTTTCCCTTCCCCTGGCTTGGCAGTATTACTGCCTTTCCCTTCTTTTCCCTTTAACTTTTAAAGCAGTTTGAGTCAGGTGCAGATCAAAGCTATGTCCATATTCAGCTTTTCTTCATTTCTCCAGAAGAGCACTGGTGGATAAAGGTGGATAAAAGGGGCAGGGTGGGACTTTTGCCATTTTTTTTATAAGCGTGCCATTGAATTGGGAAACCTCCTGAGCTGTGTGGCGTAAGGCAGGGTTCCTCTACCTTGGCAACTTTAAGATGGGTGGACTTCAACTCCCAGAATTCCTCAGCCAGCAGGGCTGGCTGGGGAATTCTGGGAGTTGA